AATATAACGCTTTTATATATCCATCTCCTGGCGTTTTTTAGCACGTTATAATCGGCCATTTTGTGTCCGCCATATTGTTGCAATAATTTTATTGTTGTTTTGATCATATAATATCACGATATTGTTAAAAACACAACAGTCATAATGATTACTGCATTTTTTTAAGTAAATTTGCACAATATTGTAATATTTCGATCTTTCGGCCGCCATTTTCGATACCGCCATCATGAATTTCGAAATAAGTATGTATACGTTTTAAAATTTAGAATTCATGGACGCGATATTTTGACTGCTCAAGACCATCTTATAATGTCGTTTCGATGTGAAAATATTGATTAAAAAAAAAAAATTTGTGTAAAAAATCACGGTTTTTTTTTCCAAAAAATCGGCTATAACTTTTTTGAACTTTATTTTTGATAAGTTCTGATGGCAGATCCTGAAAGAGCAAGAAATTTTACATAAAAAATGATGTTGCTTGAATTTTTTCAAGGCCATTAAAATAAAAAATAAAGCCACTGAAAATTGTTCAAAAAATGTGTCCGCTTGGACGTTATGTTTCCACAGTTTGCTTATAAATTGTATCATTAATTATTATATTTTTCATGTTAATTTTTTTATATAATTGTGTTACTTTCTAACATATTTATTTTATGTTAAGTACGTTTGTATTTTATTCATTTATTAAGATTTTAAAACGCCAACAATGGTACAAAGCAGATCTTGGTGCTTCCATATTAGTGTAAATCTTACAATTTTCGGTTTATATAACACCACGTGGCCGCAAATCGCGTATAGATGCAAATTATAATTTATTTTATGTCGCGAAGTTGAGAGGGATTTCACAGGACTTGATGCTTTGAGCATCGATTTTGGATTGCCTTTGGTAATTTAATTGTAATATTATACATACTACTTGGTTCGGAGCTACGGAGATGCACGCGATTTGCGGCCACGTGGTGTTATATGAACCGAAAATTGTAAGATTTACACTAATATTATATGGAAGCAAGATCCGCTTTGTACCGTTGTTGGCGTTTTAAGATTTCAATTGTTAATTAATGTTACACGGTCTTTTCTGATACTCATTTATTCATTTATGTTAAAATTTATGTTTTAAAACACATTATTTTTATGTTATTTGTTTATTTACTCATAAATTGTATTTTTTGACATTAAAAAGTGTTGAATATTAATTTAATTTAACACAAAATATTTAAATAACATTTACATATATGTTAAATTAATTAACACTTGAATATGTTAAAAATGTTAACAGAAAATTTTAACGAGGACTTCAGTAGATCATTTCTAACACACATACAAAAATTTTTTACTGTGTAATAATGATAAAGCAAATCTAAATTTGATTAACATATTTATTAATAAACATCAACGCATCATGTATTGACAATCACTCACCAAGATCCTTGCCAGGACCAAGCAACACCCAGGCATCAGATGTGACTAAAATAGCATGTTGGAGGAACACAACTTTTCTTCTTTGTTGACTCTTAGATAAAGGACTTCCTGATATTCTGTGTATTACCAAGTTGTAACCATCTTCTGTTGTGACGTAATGCTCCTCGGCGGGGTACCCATATCTCTCTACTAAACCGATCTACGCAATCATATAGAATGTGAAAGAAGATTTTTTAATGATTGTAAAATATTAAAAATTTTGTGTAAAAAAGGCAATTTTGAGAATATTTTGAAAGTATTGAAATTTTTGAAAGTATTTTGAAAGTATATTTGAAAGTATCTATTTTTATTTCAAAATCAATTTTTTTTAAATATCCTGTAATTCAGAATGAATTAAGAGCTTTCTTTTACAGATGTTTTTTTACTCAATGTTCGGAGTTTGAACAAAATTATATTAGTAAATATTATTACTCTCAAAAAAACTGGGCCATTAAATTTTAATTCAAATTTTTAATATTTTTTAATAGTTTAATAATTCTATGAAAAATCATCGTATTGAGATGAACCTAAGCTCAAATTAAAGCTTAAAGCAAAAAATTTTTTTCTATTTCTAAAAAACAGTGAATTGGCGGCATTATGAATGAAAGCTTGTGGCAAGGAGATTAACCTAAAAATGGTAGATACATAAATTAAATGTTATTTGTATTGTGGCGGCGCGCTTACGTTACGGCACGCGCGCCGGGCTCGCGCGCCCGCCACGTGACGAGGGTAGTGCGCGGCGCCACCACTAGGTGCCGCAGGCGCCACTACTTTTCTTGTAATTAAAAATCGCCCACGCCTGCTATATCTATGGCTCCGTGGGTGGTCTCCGGCACGTTCTTCTGCTCTCAGAGTGGTGTGAGCTTGCTTAGGCCATCACTCTGAGAGTATTTTGAAAGTACCCGTACCAGCAGAGCGAGCTCAGCTCTCCGAATTCGGAAGGAAGCGGGAGTCCCGGCCTTCCGATTCGGAGTATCCTCAAGGGCAAGCAGAAGAACATGCCGGAGTCGCCGGAGACCACTCACGGAGACATAGATATAGCAGGCGTGGGCGATTTTTGATTACGAAAAAAGTAGTGGCATCTGCGGCACCTAGCGGTGGCGCCGCGCACTACCCTCGTCACGTGGCGGGCGCGCGGGCCCGGCGCGCGTGCCGTAACGTAAGCGCGCCGCCACAGTATTATACAAATTTATATTACAAAATATAAAAAAATTATTTAAAATAAAAATGTTTCTGCACGTATTTGTTCGATGCATTTTTTCTCAACATGCTACAAAAAAGAACTTGAATATTATGGAGATTATTTACCAACAACAGTCAAGAGTCTTTTGCCTGATGCTTTTCCTACAGAGAAACCTCACATTTTTAATATTGCGGAAAAAATGCTGATTGGCGGATATATTAATATGGCCAGCTACTTGTTTCACCATTCTCATTGGTTAATCTTCTTCATGCACAAGAGCACACCTTTATCTTTATTACACCATGCTGTATACGTTCGCTTTATTATAACTGCTATGGTGAGAAAAAAACGGAAATGAACATCGAGAATCGAGGCGGATCGATGCAGAATCGATAATAAATTAATGGCTTTTTAATATAGTTCCTAGCGCGTAAATTAAATATTATTTTTTACTATGCCAACATCGATCATTTTTCTACAATTTTTTTTGACAAAGTTATAGTGTTTTAAAAAGTGTTACAAAACGGGCTATTTTTTTCTAGTCTACCCAATATAACTTATAGAAACAAATTATTGTAGGAAACTTGATAAAAAAGGAAATTAAAATTTAAACTTAAAATCTTAAAAATGCTTTAAAAAAATAAAATCTTTTTAATCTCTTGTAAGTGTGTACTTATGCATATGTTCTGCTCTCGGCGTTTGGGCATACTGTTAATCAAATGTCTAATTGTTTCTTGTTCTAAATTATTCCATTCCTTCTGCAAGGTGTGGTAGAGTGCCTTATTGATGCACAATAATGCAAGACCACAAGTCGCACGAATAGTGATCGATTTTTTAAACGATTTAAACATACAGCAAATAGTGTGGCCAGCTATGAGCCCAGATATAAATCCTATAGATCCCATTTATGGGATATATGTTGAAACGAAAAGTTAGAAAACATAATGTTCAAATTTTAGTAGCACTCCGCCACGCTTTGCAAGAGAAATGGAAAAATTGAGAACAAGAAACAATTAGACATTTGATTAATAGTATGTCCAAATGCCGAGAGCAGGACACACACATGCATAAGTACACGCACGCACTTATATGAGATTAAAAAAGGTTTGATTTTTAAAGATTTTTAAGATTTGAAGTTTACATTTTAATTTCCTTTTTGGTTTCCTACAAGTTTCCTACAATAATTTGTTTCTATAATTTATGTTGAGTAGACAAGAAAAAATAGTCCGTTTTGTAACACTTCTTTAAAATTAAGAACGAAAAACGCCAACACGATTAAAACGAATCTTGGTGCTTTATCATTTTTATTTTTAAAATGTGAATCTTACAATTATTCGGTTTCAAGTACTGCACTGCGCGGCCGCAAATCGCGTGCTTCTATACACAGCTCTGTACCGAGCATTAAACGTAATATTACGTTAAATTGCCAAAGGCAATCTAATAATCGATGCTCATAGCATCTATTAAAATCCTGTAACAATAATATATTGCGAAAAATATTACCTCAGCCGGAATTCGAACCTGGATCTCCCTATACTATCTGGGCGGGCGTTCTACCTGTTAGACTTTTTTGTAAAAATACTATAACTTTGTCAAAAAAATCGTAGAAAAATGATCGAAATATGAATTTGTTAGGAAATCAATGAGTTTGAAAACTTATACATTTTTATGCTAGGCAGCCAACTTCCCTGGAGCAGCGCAATAATATAAAAAAAATTTTTTTTTATTTTTCTAAGGCTGTGTTTTCAATGTCTGCCATTTTATAAAGCATTTTTTGGAACACAATTTGATTTTCTTAGTTATTAAGGGGAATGTTCAAGTTTTAATTTGAGCTTATTGTTAGATTCATCTTGATACGATGATTTTTAGAGTTATCGCTATTGAAAAATATTAAAAATTTGAGCTAAAATTTAGTGGCCCGGTTTTTTTGCGGGTGAGTACATATAACTACTAATTATAAAATATTTTGTTGTATTAATTATACAATCAATACAATAAGATGTTTGTTGCAATAAGTTTTTTACAATGTTTTAGAATTCTTGTAGCATCATTATTGAACATTAATTTGATGTAATTAATATATGGCAGTATTTCAACTTTTTAAGTTATGATTTTTGAAGACCGACAATAATAGGCACGCAGTGACAGCTGAAATTTAAAAACTAAAAACTAAAAACTAAAAATATTATGGACAATCAACATCTGGCTTTGGCCGAATTTGGCTCTTTTTTCTTTATGTTGTATAAATATACAATGTTGTATAATTTGTCTGAAATATTGTTAAAATGTTTTTTTATTACAAGATTCTTTAGTCTATATTTTTTAACTAAATATTATTTTTTAAAGTGTACGCCTTTAAAAGAAATACATATTAAAAGAATAAATATATATAATATAATTAATAAAATATTAGAAAATAATTTTGGTGTACTTACAAAATCCAATGTGGTTACATTGTTCACTGTTTTGGTTTCTTCTGGCTTTCTTACTCTCACTATACCTGGATCCTTAGGAAACACATATTTAACTATTGCTTTTCGAAAAAATTCTAAGTCTCCCATGAAATTTACTTGTCCTTCTAGTGACATTATTGTAAGCATAAATATAAAGGAAATAAGTTTCATGTACATTCTTATTATGTTATCGATACTCGGAATTGTAAACTATAACTTGTAAGTATCAATAATATTATTTAATATAAATTTTATTGGACTTCTCTTTATTCACATTTCAAGAAACCTATAAATGCAATTAGTATTAGTTTATTTATAATATATTTATATATGATATATATATTTTTTAAAATCAACGTGTAAATTGTATATACACACATGTACAACGTAATATATCCATGTAAATGCGAATATGAGAGTGCATATTACATTTCTATATTTTTTTTATTCTTCTGACTTTATAATGTTCATGAAATATGTACTGGAAATTTAAACAGACAAATTATAAAATTTAATATAGATGCAATAATTCGTCTGTTTTTTATTCTGTTGTATCTTACAGATTTTATCTTTGTAGACTTCATAACACGTATTTTCTAAAGTCTTCTAGGTTTTTTAAGTATCTTTTAACAATTCTCTCTTATTTATTAAGTTATTACTTATTAGCAACATTTATGTTACAAATATTATTAATAATTTAATCAAGTACGTTTTATTAGAAAATGAGGAAATAAGAGCTATTGTATATATGTTCTGTAACTTACATTGTCTATCATTTTTCATATATGTCTCATATTAACGTATTGTACTCACCAATAAATTTAATTAAAATATCTTAAACTGACTGTCAAACTAGAAACTTGAACTCTCAGCAATAAATTGTTCCATCTCTAATGTGTTCTAACTTTAAAGTCTGAAAACATTAACTAACATAAGTATTAGTTACAGCGGATAAGTTAAAACTATTATACAACATTGAACGTGTTGCGCTCTAACAAATATATTAGCGAAAACACAGTAATAATTAATCATCTTGCCAAGATTATGTTGAACTTTACGACACTTCACTGGTATACTTGAGACAATCTTTTATCTAAGAACATAAATTAAAGGTCGACTTCAATTCTTGACAAATAGTCGATCATTGTCTGACAGTCACTGAATCATCATAAATGATAACAAAAACAAAAAAATCTTGATTTTTTATTTTTAGATTTTTAGATAAGGAAAGGTTTAACAGCCTAGAAACGAGTAACAAATCCGATTTATTTATAGATAAATAAATAAAATATCCTTTAATGTCATACTACTTCACAGAGTCTTTATCAGTTTATGAGATAAATAATTTTAATCATTAGAATTAAGTAAGAGTATAGTACCAAATGAAAGTTAAAGGGATGATGTCTAAAAGGAAAATTATTATAACGCATTAAAGGGCCTATCTAATAAGTCAATTATAAAATTAAAATTAAAAATCAAGTTTTATCTATCTTATAAACTGATGAAGACTATGTGAAGTACGGAACGTTTTATGCTTTTATTATATGATATTAAAGAATATTTTATTTATTTATTTATAAATCTATTGCTCGTTTCTTGGCTGTTAAACTTTTCCTTATTGTCTTGCAATACACGAGCTTGATTTTTAATTTTATTTATTTTTATCCAATGTTTTCTTGTTTATTGTTGATGTAAATACCCAGCAAACATAGTGACGTCAAAATGACGCCAAAAATTGGTGATTACTGGTCAAGTGACGTCAGATGACCAAAAATAATCGTATATAAAACGTCTTTTTTATGACGTTTAAAAACGTCATAATATCGTTAATTTTTAATCATTTCTATAGACAAACTTGTAAAATAATTAAAAATATAAAAATATTAATTTTTGTTGTTATAGAATACAACTTTAGTAATACAACAAATTTAGTATCATTAATAGTGGTTCAAATACATAATATAGTTGTTACATTAGAAGATCAAATTTATATTATTGGAAAACAATTTGTTGAATATTCAGATTTACATTCTTATTCATGCAAATCTTCTGAATTAAACATTAATTCTATCACAAAAAATTTATTAAGATATAAACTTTGGCCACTTAATAATTTCTTTAGCAAATGCATTGTTTATCCTTTTAATAATACTTCTTATGTCGTTTTCTATAATTTACAGTATAATTAATTAATTAATTATAAAAATTAAATTGGTTCTAAAAATATAAAATATATTATTTTAAGTTTTTTATGTATACATATAACATGCAAAATATGTATTGATATGTAAAAAAGGAGCCATCGGATGTGCCGTGCATAAGCGCGCGAATTTCAGCCGCTAATATTGGTTAACTTAAATCCTTTATAATTTGAAAAGTATTATAGCTTCGATATTTTTGTATTAGGATTTTTGTCTTAAAATTATCTTAGGAACACGTTCTTAATAGGAAATCCGGTAGAGGTGGGACACCCTGTATATATATATATATATATATGTATATGTTTGTATATGGATAAAATATACTTTTTATTTTATTTATGAACGGTGTGCGATCCTGAGTCTCCCATCCGCTAATCAACCGGCTTTTGGAGCTTTTAATCATGAGAACTCCACGATGACATCCTCAGTTTCGAACGACGGTGAATGCACGCTGAAGTACTTGAGTGGTGTTATACTGAAGATGGCTCGAACGAACTCGAAACGTTTGTAAAAGTTATGTATTAGTTAAGTGAATTATATTATTGACTAATACAAGCCGTTCACATATGTATTTGCGCATTATTTACCGCGCCGACTCCTAACAGCCCATTTTTAAACACATTATTTAAATTTAAGGAGTCCTTGTTACTTTAAGTCTATTTTTATAATTCTGTACGTTTTTAAGACGTCATTAAAACATCATAAAAAGATCCAAAATAGTTATAAATTCACGTCTTTTTAAGGTCCTAAAATGTCGTCATCGGTCCGTGACATTAGTACGTTTTTTTCTCGTCATGTTAACGTCATTTTATTGGTCATTTTTGGTCATTCTCTGACCAAATTTTGACGTCATTTTGACGTCATTTTGACGTGTGCCTGTTAGCTGGGTATGCGATGAAAACTTTACATGTTTTTGTATTTCTCTGACTTACATTGTCTGTCATTTTTCATACTTATTTTGTATTAAATGTACAGTGCAGTGCAATAATTTGCGTGGTCATAGATCCAGAAAATTATTGCATTGCACTGTACAAGCGAATAAATATCGTCGGCAAATCAACCCAGAGAACATGTATGTCTAAAAGACGTTCGTTAGACGTCTGGAAAGACACGTTTTTAAGACTTGACTTAAAGACGTCCCAAAGACGTTTTCTTGACAAACGTCTCTTTTTAAACGTCTAGCGAATGTCTTTTTTAAAGACGTTTTTAAGACATGACTTAAAGACGTCATAAAGTCGTCTTTCAATCAAGTCTTATGGACGTCTCTTTTAAGACATCTAGCGAATGTCTGTTTTAAA